CAGGGTTTGAGATCAAAACTTCTAACCAATCCCTGTTGGGAGTTATTAAGAAGAGCCTGCTTAAGATTCTCTCTCTCTCTCTCTCTCTCTCTCTCTCTCCTCTCTCTCTCTCTCTCTCTCCCTCTACTCACTCTCTCCCTCTCCCTCTCTCTCTCTCTCTCTCCCTCTACCACACCCTCCCTCTTAAGTAAAAATAAGTAGAGGAAGCCTGGGTGACTCAGTCAGTTAAACATCCAAGCTTTGCTCAGTCATAATCTTACAGTTCATGAGTTTGAGCCTTAGCAGTGTTGGGCTCTTTTGCTGGTAGCTCAGGAAACCTGGAGCCTGGTTCTAAGATTCATGTCTCCCTCTCTCTCTGCCCCTCTCCTGCTCTGAGAAAGCATGCTCTTGTCACTCTCTCAAAAATAAACAAACATTTAAAAAAAAAAACTTTTAAAAATATGTAAAATACATGCATACATACATCTTAAAAAAAAAAAAAAAAAAAAAAATACTAGAATTGTCTGGATTTAGCATACAAAATATATGTCCCAGCCCTATCCATCAGTGGACTCCCGTTAATTGTATTCTGACATTTACTAGATTTGAGACCAGCTGTTGTGCTGTTACTGGCAGTTTCTAACAGCTGTTCTGCCTTATGGGGGACACAGGGACACAGGTGCTGGGACAAAGTGGTGGCTTTGAGAAAAGCAGAGAATATAGCGATCATTGAAGAACTCTGTCTCCTTAATGCATGCTGGCTAATTGATTGAGTGGGGGTGTTTGCTGCTGTAAACCCAACTTACTTTGGGAAAAGTTTGATAAAAATAATTGACATTTTACTTTTTTTTTAATAGCTGCATGTAATAGATATTGTTAGCTTTATTTTAATAATTGGTGTACAATTATGATTTATGTTTGTATTAAAAGAGGTCTCCTTGAAATTAATAAAGATACTACAGTAAATGGCTGGATAAGTATGCAAAAAAAAAAATAACTTGTGGTAAGTTTTTTCAGAAGTCTATAGATCATGACCTGAGCTGAAATCAAGAGTTGAACACTTAACCAATGGAGTCACTCAGGCACCCCTCTCCCCAGGTAATTCTGATATGAGGCCATGATGAGAACTACTGGAGTACAGAATTGGCTCTGTTTAATGGGTTTCAATAAATACATTATTAGCATTTTGTGGTTCAATTTTTTTAGGTTCAAAATAGATTGATAAATTTGCCACCATTTTCAAAATATAAATAAAATAAACATCTCAGTAAAACTCACAATGAATCCAAACACGACTGTGGAAAAGAAACCGCCAATGAATCCTTCCCAAGTCTTTTTAGGAGACAACTAAAAAAGGCCAAATAAAATTAAAAAGTTACTACACTCACAAAACACACAAATACATATGGCAAATTGTTTTCAGTGAATTCCCACAATACCTTATACATCTCTCCGTACTTTTTTCTTGATGGAATGGCTTTGCAAACCTTTTTCCTTCATTCCATGATCCCGATTTATTTGTACAAATTTCTCTAGTAATATCTAACACATTTTAGACCCTCAAACTGTGAATATATGTTTCTGTATAAATAACCTCAATTTATTTTTTTCTCTCCCAAAGAACTATGAACTCTATATTGAAATCATCGTCCCATGACTCTTATGCTTATATAAACCCCCACAATAGGGTGGTTCTTGCAGTAAGGGTGAGATATAGTCATTCCAAGTACATATGGTCTGTATTGACCTACAACTGACAAAAAATAGAAGAATGAGTATAACAAAACACAGACATTGCAGCACATGAGATTTTCATATATTCTCAAAAATGCCATGCATTCAACAGACCTCTTCCTGAAATGGCAAAACACTCCAGATACAGTATTTGCTCCACAAGTATTCACATATCCTTCTCCCTTGGGTCACAATCTATGTCTGTCTCCATGAAGAAAGGAACATGTTGTGCTTCTAATAATAGATACTGTTTCAGATTCCGGCTATTGTTTCTCAGTCAATGGGGCATTCAGGCAGAGAAATCTGGAGGAAAGTTTGGAAATCAGTGATGCAGGGGCAGGAGGAAAAGATTTGGGAGTGCACAGCTCTAACTGCCTGAGGTGCCCTATATGATAAGGACTGATGTATGGGGAGATCACTGATGGCCTCTGTGATGACTCTTTCAGTGGATGGGTGGGGACAGAAGCCAAATAAATATCAGACAGAAGTTTCTGCAGACAGAAACAGGTGACAGGCTAATCTACCTGATCTCTTTATAGACCTTTTGTCCTAATGATGTTCATAAAACCCAAAGCCAAAGTGTTGACAGAAATGGTTTCTTGACAAATCTGATAACAATTCTGCCACAGAGACAATTTCCTAGGATGATTCAGTATTACTATCATGAAGTAGTTGACTCAAATTCAAAAGTGCCTGTTGATTATTTTAAAGATGACTTCTCAAATTAAATTGACCTATATAAAACTGATTTAGGGGTTAACTTGCTTAATCACATATGGGTATATTATACAACTAATCCAGCCTGGTAAATTCACTAGAAATCTGTGTCCAAAATCAAACAGTAAGATTCCTCTACAACCATAACATCCTCTCTGAAGGCTTTCTAAGCCAAAAACTTATCTGGTACAGAAGTCTTGAATATTTAATCACTTGCCCTGATGCTGCAGCAGCTTTAGAAACTTTTAAAAATATATATATACCTTGCTTGCTGTATCCCTCCCTATAGCTCAGCCTGATGCTGTATGCTGCTGGACTCTTACATGGGGAAGAACTTATGGAAGACTTTTAAAGGACAGGCACATCCATGTGTTCCTCTGGGAACACTTAAGCTACTCTTGTATCATTCTTAACAAACAGGTTTTGTATCTGCACAATTGTCCCAGTCCCTCCAAACTGCCTTCATACAGTAACATCAAAATAGCCAACCAAAATATTCGTGGGGATATTATTAAAGACTTTGCATAATACATGAATGGGGAGAACCCTATCTAAAGCCGCAACACGAAAAGTTTGTTTAAAGGTAATCAGTTCTAGTAAAAGGTCTATTTTTCCATGAGGAATCAGTTTGTTTCTTTCTTCCCCAAAATGAGCACTGTATAATTCATTAATTCATTTCTTTCTTTGCCTCCACTGAATGTAAGCAGAACCAAATCTAAGGCAAAACACATGGTCTTTTCACATGTATTTTCCTTTCCCTTATCTTAACCTTTCCTTATTACATGCATTATCAGTATTTTATTGTAGGGCCTCAAATTTTTTCAAAATAAGCTTGGGTGTAAAAGTCTTACAAATGGACAGGACTATGGGAAGGTGATGAAGTGTACACTTTTTTTTAAAATTTTTTTTTTTTAACGTTTATTTATTTTTTTGGGACAGAGAGAGACAGAGCATGAACGGGGGAGGGGCAGAGAGAGAGGGAGACACAGAATCAGAAACAGGCTCCAGGCTCTGAGCCATCAGCCCAGAGCCCGACACGGGGCTCGAACTCACGGACCGCGAGATCGTGGCCTGGCTGAAGTCGGACGCTTAACCGACTGCGCCACCCAGGCGCCCCTGAAGTGTACACTTTTAAAAAAAATTTGGTAAAGGAGGTGATAGAGGAGACAGTGACAGAGGAGAGCAGAGTCTAGGAAAGGCTTGTTTGTAGGGTTGCTGGGGAATGAAGAAAGAAGAATTGCACTATAGCTAACAGAAAGAAACCAGCAGAAAGATGAAATGAGCCTTCTTCACAAGACAGAGGACAAATGATGGAGTCAGGTCCTTACGGAGGAGCTAACAGGTTATCTAAGAATCCACATGGAATCACTGGGAAACATGGCTCACTGCCTCTACACTATGGCTGTTAAACACAGCTAAGGAAAATCAAAGCACCTCAGAAATAAAAATGTGCCACAGCACCAAATTGTTGGAGATCTTCTCCAGTGGCTAATCTTTAAGGTTATGGTAATGGCTTCCTTGTGATGTTGTTCCATTACCTTAATTAATGGAGTCCTCCCAAAAAAAAATCCAAAAAGGTAAGCAGTTATGTCATTGCAAATAACACTTGATATTGGAACAAGGAACCTTAAAAAAAATCAGAAAAAAGTCCATATGATTAAGTGGCAAACATTTATATAGGTTTATGACTCATATTGAACCAATGCAATAGCCCTTTGGATTATATTGCAGCCTCATCCAGAACATAACACTTGCCAAAACATTAGTAGAAACAATAAGTATCAAGTAAATTTTCCCATTAAGCAATTCAGCACAGCAAAATCTATAAATAAACTAACATACCAGGAGAATATTGCTAAGGAAAATATTAAAAAATCAATTTAATTTTAATATTAAGCAATCCATTTCTATAGCTATAAACTTTCAAATTTTACTTTTATGAGGAACAAGTTATAAATAGAACAAAGAATTTAAAAAGCGGTCTTTCAAAATGGAAATAAGTCATCTGTTTAGACACAGTATAATCTTCATAAATTTATACCAAGCTCTTAATAAAAATTCTTTTTCAGGAATAATTATCAATTTCAATTCTATCTTAGCCTATAGTTACATTAAACCCTACTAATTGTACAGAACCTACTAATTTCAGTAACTGCTCCCCATCAATTAAAAGTCTGCATATGGAAGACAATCTTTGTTATACACACACCTCAGTATAAACAAATTAAAACACAGAGCTGTGAAGGGTTTTATCTTGACAAAACCTATCAACTCTAAAAGATTTTAATTAATGGACTTAAAAGAACGCAGGGAAAATATGGTCAGATTTCTTAAAGCGTAAGTTTTTCTCCACTCTGATTTTTAACTAATAACTTTCATAATTTTAAACAAAAATGCTTTCTGAATCTGCAAGGCACTGCTATGTAGCAAGTAACTCCATCTGAAATCTGGACACCTACTCCTGTGTAAAGGCAGAGTAAAACCTACCCAACTTTCACCCAGAGAAAATACATTGCCAGCATTCTGTTTGCTGACAAGCAAACATTCATGTACTTTCTGCATTCCACAAAAATAATATACTCTTTTTAAAGTCTATGTGTGCTTTGTAAAAAGGCACACTAAGGTGCAGTAACACCCGAAAGTGTTAATTAATTGTGGGATCTTTTAGGAAGACTTCCTGCATTTTATTTGGAACCCGAATAAGAAGGGTTTTCAAGTTGTTAACAAAGCATTTGTCTTCAGGTGTCAAATGGTAAGCAAAACTCAGGAAGACATTTTAATGAAATAGAGCAACAACAGAGAGCACATTTTAGTAGAAATCTGAAAGACACTGTCCAATGTGAAAGAGCTTTAAAAAGGCTAGGATATAAATACAAAGCAGCATAACACTGTCCCCTTACCATATCATGCCTTCAAACAGATTTTGGATGACAAGATGTGACTGGGTAACTGTTATCAGTAAAGTGACATGAGTCCATGCAAACTGTTAATAGCCCAAGAACAAAACAATTAGTGAACACAACTCATCAGTGCAGCCCTGGAGCAATAGCAATTTTGAAACACAAGTTTCTAGCATGACTTTCAGTCAAATTTTAAAAGGTAGAGTCATACAGAATAAATGCTGTTAGTAAATTATATTCATTTTGGTTCCTACTGGAACCTTAAAACCATGAAGACATTTAACAAAGTAATCTTAATTCATACACAAATAGAAAGCTAACAGTATTGATACACTACTAAATTTAAAAACATATACAAAATATACAATAATCTTGAGTCATTAGTTAAAATGATAATGAGAAAGTTATGGTGGTTGTTTCAGAATTTAGAGAGAAACATTTTCCTTGGCATTCTGCAGTTATTAAAAATGCTAAAAATGATTTTTCTTTCAGAATTCACTATGGTAGCTTTTTCCCATTAGGAGTTATTTCTGACTTCAAATAACTCAAACCAGCAGGGACCAATTACCCTTAAGTGCCAGCTCTTCATTCTCGAAAACTGGTCTTCACAGCACTATTCAATGACAGTATTTGATTTCAGATTTTCAAAGACTGTGTGTCTCATCAAGTCCATCTAGCCTGAGAAATGTCACTTTAGTAATTTTTAGCATCATCAGTATGAGGACAATATGAATGAAAAAAACTAATGTTTCTATATGTTTGTCTTACAATTTTGATTAGAATTTATAAAATGTTCATAATTCTTAATATTTTGATTTATTCATAACTTATTTCCCAATTTGGCAAATAATATATTAGTTGTTTTGTTTTGTTTTTTATCTGTATAAAAGATCCAATTGTTTTTATCCTGGTTTCTTCAAAATGTGTATTTAATTTTTTTCAGTAGGCACCATTTATATTTTCATAGCACATTCTATTATTTCTAACTTGTCTTGATGATTTCTAGATTCTTATGGAGAATTTTAATCTCCTCTCAAGATCCCCAGAAATTAGAAATGTAAGAAATTCTAGTTTCCCAGTGAAGATGCTCAATAGAATGTCCTAATGGGGAAAAGCAAAGCATAAAGAATAGGAAATATATCCAAATCCAAAATAAGCCTAACACATAAATTCACAGATTTAAATACTATATTTTGCATTTTACAATCTTATAATTAGCCAGCTTTTAAGAAAATAAGTTCATAATGCACAGTGATAAATTTCATTAAACACTGAACATACTTCAATGATACAGTGCAAAAAAAACACCTTAGGGCAAAAAGAATTATGCAATCAACTGTGTGACTAACCACAACTACCAAGAAAATATATGTTCTGTTCTCTTTATGCTCAGGCTAACAACAAATAAACATAGATACTTTCTCTAGAAAAACATGGTATGTGTTTTCCTCACTAACTGTTCAGGAGACTATGAACATGCTTCAAATATTTGCTTTTCATTTTATAGGCTTTGAAAATATTCAAAGAAAGAGTTTGGGAAACTTTGAAAACAGTTAAAATTTTTAAACCTTCAAAAACTTTACAACTTAAACCTTTTGTATTTAATAGTCAACCAAAACTGAAATGCCCCCACATTAGGCAAAACATCAACTAGCAGATTAGATCTACTCACTACAGAAAAAAAAAATTAAAGGTGAGTGTTTTTATTATACACAGTGACTACAGAATAATAGTTAATACAGACCATATAAAACTGCAGACGATAATGTTTCTTCACCAAGCTCAGCACAAACATGCAGAAACCTGTTCAAGAACAAAACACATGCGCTTGTGCAATTTGTTACAAAATGTAGGATTCACGGAGCTCAAATAAGCCAATTTTCTGAACCACTTCTAGATATAGTTTAGCACTTACTCATAGGTCACCTCTCCTACTCATATTAAGCATTTTTTTTTTTATTTTTATTTTTATTTTTTTAGGTAGGTTTCACATCCAGTTTGGAGCCCAATGTGGGGCTTGAACTAAATGAAGGCCCTGAGCTCAATACCTGAGCTGAGATCAGGAGTCCGACACATAACCTACTGAGCCATCCAGGTGCCCCTTATAATAAGCATTTTATTTTTTTTTTTAAATTTTTTTTTTTTCAACGTTTTTTATTTATTTTTTTTGGGACAGAGATAGACAGAGCATGAACGGGGGAGGGGCAGAGAGAGAGGGAGACACAGAATCGGAAACAGGCTCCAGGCTCTGAGCCATCAGCCCAGAGCCTGACGCGGGGCTCAAACTCACGGACCGCGAGATCGTGACCTGGCTGAAGTCGGACGCTCAACCGACTGCGCCACCCAGGTGCCCCTAAGCATTTTAAATAAAAGCTTCTTGAGTGAAATGATCTTGTATTCTCCAAAATGCCTACTATATTCCATGACATAAATTCAATAAACATCCCCTGCATTAAGAGAATTAGTCTCTTGCAAATATGTGAACATGAAAAAACAGATCTTGAATTTCAGCTGAATAAAAGTCATCTGCGTAGAGAGAAACAAAGTTACCTCCAAGGGAAAACCTATAAGGCTATCAGCTGATTTTTCAGCAGGAACTTTGCAGGCCAGAAGGGAGTGGCATGACATATTCAACGTGCTGAAAGGAAAAATCATACAACCAAGAATACTCTATCTGGCAAGTATATCATTTAAATTTAAAGAAAAGATAAAGAGTTTCCCAAACAGAAGATAAAAGAGTCTTACAAGAAGTATTAAAGGGGCCTCCTTAAGTAGAAAAGAAATTGCCATAAGTAAACATAAGAAAATTATGAATAAAAAGATGTAAAATATGATCACATACATATAATACATGGGGGGAGTAAAAAAAAAAAGGAAAAGAAAAGGTGTTTGTTTCTTTTTCTGTTGTTTTTTTTTTTTTAAAGAATGTGTTTGAACTTAAATGACCATTAAATTAATGTAGACTGCTACTTAGGATGTTATATATGAATCTCATGATAACCACAAACCTAAGATCTGTAATCAACACAGTAAACAAAGAGAAAGAAAGTCAAACATAAGACTATTGAAACTTATCAATCACAAAGAAGGAGAGCAAGAAGGAATAGGGAAGAAATACAAAAACAGTCAGAAAACAAGTAATAAAATGGCAATATCTATCAACAATTACTTTAAATGTAAATGGCCTAAATGTTCCAATCAAAAGACATAGGATGACAGAATGTATAAAGAAAAGAGGCCCATCTGTGTGCTGCTTACGAGCAATTCACCTCAGATCTAAAGATACATATGGGGGAGGTGCCTGGGTAGCTCAGTCATTTAAGCATCCGACTCTTGATTTAGGCTCAGGTCATGATCTTCTGGTTTGTAGGATCAAGATCCATGTCAGAATCTGTGCTGACAGTGCAGAGCCTGCTTGGGACTCTCTCTCCCTCTCTGTCTGCTTCTCCCCCACTCATTCTCTCTCAAAATAAATAAACATAAAAAAAAAAATAAAGACACATACAGACTGAAAGGGAAGAGATGGGAAAACATCTACCATGCAAACATAAGTGGGGAAAAAAAAAGCCAGCATAGCAATACTTATATCAAACAAAGTAGACTTTAAAACAAAGAATGTAACAAGAGACAGAGAAGGGCATTATATGATGATAAAGAGGTCAATCCAACATGAGGATATACCAATTATAAACATCTATACACCTAACACTGGAGCACCTAAAGCAAATATTAATGGACACAAAGGGAAAAATTGATGGTAATTCAATAATATTGAAGGACTTTAACACACCAGTTACATCAATGGATAGATCATCCAGGCAGAAAATCAACAAAAGAAACAGTGCCTTTGAACGACACATGGGACCAGATAGACATAAGAGATACATACAGAACATTCCATCTAAAAACAACAGAATACACATTCTTTTTAAGTGCACTTGGAACCTCTCCAGAATAGAGCACATATTAGGCCACAAAACAAACCTCAATAAATTTAAGAAGACTGAGACCATGTATCTTTTCCAATCACAATGGTATGAAACTAGAAGCAAATCACAAGGAAAAAATGGAAACAACACAAACATATGGAGGCTAAACAATATGATCCTAACAACTAATGGGCCAAAGGAAATCAAAGAAGAAATTTAAAAAAAAATACATGGAGACAAATGAAAATGAAAACACAATGATCCAAAATGTTTGGAACACAGTGAAAGTAGTTCTAAGAGGAAAATACATAGTGATAAGCGGCTACCTCAAGAAAGAAGAAAGCTCAAATAAATAACCTAATCTTCACCTAAAGGAACTAGAAGAAGAACAAGCAAAGCCCAAGGTGAGTAGGAAAAAAGGAAACAATAAAGAGCAGAGCAGAAATAAATGACATAGAGACTAAAAACCACAGTAGAAAAAAAAGTCAGTGAAACCAAGAACTGGTTCTTTGAAAAAATAAACAAAATTAAGATACATCCTTAGCCAGACTCATAAAGAAAAAAAAGAGAAAAGACCCAAATACATACAATCAGAAACAAGAGAGGAGTAACAGCTAAAACTAGAGAAACACAAAGGATTATAAGAGAATACTATGAAAAATTATATGCCAACGAATAAGACAATCTAGAAGAAATGGATAGATGAAATGGATAAATTTCTAGAAATACACAATCTTCTAAAACTAAACAGGAAGAAATAGAAAATCTAAAGAAACTGATTATAAGAAATTGAATCACTAGTAAAAAACTACCAAAAAATTAAAGTTCTGGACTAGACAGACTCACATTCAGAAAACATTTAATACCTATTCTCCTCAAACTATTTCAAAAAATAGAAGAAAAATGTCCAAATATATTCTACAAAGCCAGCATTACCCTTACACAAAAATCAGACAAAGACATCACACAAAAAAACCAAAAACTACAGGCCAACGTTCCTGAACACAGATGCAAAAATCCCCAATAAAATATTAGCAAACCACATACAACAACAATACATTATAAAGATTCACCAGGATCAAGGGGGATTTATTACAGAAATGCAAGGATGGTTCAATATTAACTAATCAACCAACAAGATATACACCACCATCAATAAAATGAAGGACAAAAATCATATGATCATCTCAATAGTTGCAAAGCATTTGACAAAACCCAACATCCATTAATGATAAAGTCTCAACAAAGTAGGGTTAGAGTATGTATGTGTACACACACACACACACACACACACACACACACACACACCCTACAGCTAACATCACACTCAATGGTGAAAAACTGTGAGTGTTTCCTCTAAGATCACAAACAAGACAAGGATGTCCATGCTCCCCACTTTTATTCAACATGGTACTGGAAGTCCAAGCCACAGCAATCAGACAAGAAAAAGAAAGAAGAGGCATCCATATTGGTTAAGAGGTTAAACGGGGATCAAGACATGATACTATATACAGGAGATCCTAAAGACCCCACCCAAATACTACCAGAAGTAATAAATGAATTCAGTAAAGTTACAGGATATTAAATTAATGCATAGAAATCAATAGTGTTTCTATCCACTAATAATAAAGTAGCAGAAAAAGAAATTAAGAAAACAAGACCATTTACAGTTGCACCAGAAAGAATAAAATACCTAGAAATAAATTTAACCAAAGATGTGAAAGACCTGTACTCTGAAAATTATAACCACTGATGAAAATAACTGAAGATAACACAAACAAATGTAAAGATATTCCATGCTCATGGATCATAATTCATATTGTTAAAATGTCCATATTACCCCAATCAATCTACAGATTCAATGCAATTCCTAACAAAATACCAAAATACCAAGCATTCTTCGCAGAACTGGAACAAATAGTACTAAAATTTGTATGGAACCTCAAAAGACCCCAAATAGCCAAAGTAATCTTGAGGGGGGGAAAAAAAAGGCTGGAGGTATCATACTCCCAGGTTTCAAGATATACTATACAAAGCCGCAGTAATCAAAACGGTATAATACTGACACAAAAACAGACATATAGATCAATGGAACAGAATAGGGACACCAGAAATAAATTCCTGATTATATGGTCAATTAATCTATGACAAAGGAAGCAAACCTATAAAATGGGAAAAAGATAGTCTCTTCAATAAACAGATCTGGGAAAAATTGGACATGCAAACATGCAAAAGAAACTAGACCATTTCTTAACACCATACACAAAAATAAACTCAAAATGGATTTAAGACCTAAATGTGAGACCTGAAATCATAAAAATCCTAGAAGAAAGCACAGGCAGTAACTTCTCTGACATCAGCCATAGCAATATTTTTCTAGATGTGTCTCCTAAGGCAAGGGAAACAAAAGCAAAAGTAAACTGCTGGGACTACCAAATAAAAAGCTTTTGTACAGCAAAGGAAACCATCAGCAATATAAAAGGAGACCTACTGAATGGGAAAAGATATTTGCAAATGATTTATCCAATAAAGGGTTAGTATCCAAAATATATAAAGAACTTCTACAACTCAACACCAAAAGAACACAAACAATCCAATTAAAAAAATTCAGGACCTGAACAGACATTTTTCTAACACACTGAAAAAGTGCTCAACGTAACTAATAATTGGGGAAATGCAAATCAAAACCACAACAAGCTATCGCCTCATACCCATTAGAATGGCTCAAATTAAAAAGACAAGAAATAACAAGCACTGGCAAGTATATGGAGAAAAAGAAACCCTCATACACTGTTGATGGGAGTATAAATTGTTATAGCCACTGTCTAAAACAGTATGAAGGTTCCTCAAAAAATTAAAAATAGGAATACCACA